TTCAATTGCTTGTATTTGCGTCGTATCTTAATCCATAAGTAAAATCAACCAAATCCAAACTATCGCTTATAATTAATTCAAAGTATTTTTTTGAAATCGGATTAAATGAGCTTAAAAGTGACCTTATAAGCTTGTTTCCTTCAAACGATTCTCGCATTTGTTTTTTTATAATTTCTATTGATGGAGGAATTATAGGTGTCGATGTAATGTTTGTTGAGAGTGTTTGCAGTGGAAGAAATAATGGCCCCATAAAACTTTCGTCAACATCATTATTAGTACTTGTTGTTGCAGGTTTTATATAAGGTATTGCCGGTTTTCTAATAAAAACATCATCATTATCTCATCATTAGTTTTGTTACTCAATTCACTTTGAACATCAGCAATAGAAGCGGTAGTTTGTTTAGTTTGCATTGATGCAATTGTTGGTTTTGGTAAAAGTATTGAGGGTTCTTCTTTTTTTAACATTGTAGTCATTTTTGGTTCTTTTTTATGTTTTCCACAATGGATTGAAGAGGTGTTATAAGCGGTTTTAAATTACTTGCAATTTCCATATTGACGTCCATTCGATGTTTTTTTAATTTATCAAATTTTTTTCTAATTATATTTCGTGTTTTTATGAGTTCCCTTTTGAATTTCTCATCATTTTTTTTCTTGCTTACCGTTGCTAGCGGAAAAGACGAAACTTGGGTGTTCAATCTTTGGTTTTATTTTTTTTTTCATCTAATAAAGGTGCTGTTTGTTGTTGGTGGTGAGAATAGCAATTTTCCACTCATAATAATTTTATAGACTTAAGAAACAAAAACACATTCACAAAAACTTAATCGAACTATACTCTAGCACGCCTATTTGAATACTAACCGCTTTATTACAAAGTAATAAAAGTGTCGAAACCGATTCTATATCGATTTCCTGATGTTTTTATCGAAAACAAAAAAATTAAAACTATTTTCTCTCCAACACTTCCAACATAATTCTTTGAAAATATCAAAACTCATATCGTTTTCAATAAAATTATCGTAAAATACGTGTTTTAAATTTTGATCGTCCTGTTCAAACAAAACAATTAAATTACAATTATCTCTAATTATGTGCTTAGGTACATGAGCATACGATTGACAAAGATAAAAACAATTTATTCCGAAGTTGCGACCTCTAGCAAAAAAATCTCGTATGCAACTTTGATTGGTACATTGTACATCATAAAATATAAATATGATTGGTTTTGTTTCTTCTGGTTTTATTAATGCCATTGTATTATTATTATTATCAAACCCACTATCAGCACCAACGCAATCATAAATAGCACTAGAAGTAGCATTAATGTTGGTACCGCTATTTTCACGATCAAATTTAAAAAAAACCAATATTGAAATCTTCATCATTTTCCTCTTCCTTTCCATTTTTATTATCTTTTTCTTCATCACTTACGTTGGATTGTAAAATTCTTTCCAAATAAACGTACATCGGTTGATTAAGTGATTTCGAATAGACGTAGATGTTTTCTTAGTCAAGAGCGTTTGGATTTAATAAAAGATTTAAAATCAAATTCGTTTTTCCTGAACCGCTACGTCCGCATATTAAACTTCTAATATCTTCTTGAAATAAAATACCATTTCGTTTGTGATGTTGACGCCGTCCTTGACGTCGATAACGATGATGGTCTGTACCGTCCAGTAGACTCCTCTCCTTCCTCCTCCTCCTTTTTCTTTTTCTTTTGCAAAATAATCCATAATTAAAGGATAAAAATTTAGCACGTTAAAACGATGATTTTGCATTGATTGATGATGAAATCCTTTAGACGATGTCGACATACTCTTTAAACTTGCTGTTTGGGGTGTTTACTGTCTTGTATTTAATAGTTTTTAACGCTGCTATCGTTGACGTTTACTATTTTGGTATTGACCTTTGATCTCTGACTGTCGACTGACTTAACGGGGACCCTGTTAGCGTGCTTCAAACACTCGAAAAGTCGAAGACAATACACGACACAATACAAAAAAAAAAAAAAAAACGTGACATCAAGGTGCGCGTCGTCGCCGTGTTATATTACCATAAGCTAGACGATACACTGCGTGTATGCGTACACGCCTATGCATAAACGTTAAAAAAAAGAAAACATAGATGAGAGTGGGAGGAGGGTGGTGAGAATATATAAAATGGTTATAAATTAATTAATTTAATACAACGTATTAGTATTGCTAACGTTGCCGTCTTTGTTAAGTATTGTTATTGTTGCCCACATACCTGTGTGTAGATGATGTAATGTGATGTAATGTGATGAACAAGTGGTAGAAAAAAATACGTTAAGGATAAATGATAAATACTCTTATTGAAAAATTATCATTTGAGGCCCATTTGCCTGGTGGTTATAAGTTTTGTGGCCCAGGAACTAAATTAACCAAGCGTTTAGCACGTAACGATGTTCCCATAAATGCTCTTGATGCAGCGTGTAAAAAACACGATTTAGCTTACGCCCGTAACAAGGATCTGACGAATAGACACTTGGCTGATCTTGAGTTAGCCGAAGCGGCTGCTCGACGACAACACGCAGCAGATGCAAATTTAAAAGAAAAACTTGCCGCTGCTCTAGTAAAAAATATTATGAAAATAAAAAGAAAACTCGGATGGGGATTAAATTTTAGGAGCAACGCTTTAACGCCAAAGACGTCTTTATCCTCATTCAAGCATAAAACTCCCGCTAAACATTTACATTTCACTCTAAAACGTCAACGTCAACGTTCACGTTCCGCCATCGCTAGTGCTTTCAAGAAGGAACTGTGAAAACGATATCGAAAAAAATTAGCAATAAAAAATCCGTTACGAAAAACAAAAACAATTTAAGAAGATGCAAAAAAACTTACCGCTGCTCTAGTAAAACATATTATGAAAATAAAAAGAAAACTCAGATGGGGATTAAATTTTAGGAGCAACGCTTTAACGCCAAAGACGTCTTTATCCTCATTCAAGCATAAAACTCCCGCTAAACATTTACATTCCACTCTAAAACGTGAACGTTCACGTTCCGCCATCGCTAGTGCTATTCCCTTTGAAGGGGGAATTGTGAAAACGATATCGAAAAAAATTAGCAACAAAAAATCCGTTAAGAAAAACAAAAACAATTTAAGAAATGCATCTAAGTTTGCTCTTCTGGCAGCACGTCAAACTGTGAAAAATGTTGGTGGTAAGAAAAACATTAAACTACCACGAGTGATAGCTATACCGAAAAGAGGAGGATTTTTACCATTTTTAGTGCTGATGTTTATAGGATTAGTTGCCTTAGGCTCGCTAATCGGTGGTAGTGCGTCAGTAGTGAAGGCAGTGGGTGATACCAAGGCCGCGCAAAAAAAATTAGAAGAACTATAACGGCATAATAAAACAATGGAAGCTATCAAACTAAACAAAACATCATCACCATCAAAACGTGGAAGTGCTCTTTATCTTAAACCATATAAAAAAGGATTGGGACTGTTTATTCAACAAAAAAACTAACTCAATCGTTACCTCAAAGGCCGTTGACCAACTTTGATATCGAACATTACGCAAAGCTTTGAAAAATTCCGCATTTCCGAGGTGTTTTCATGCGAGACGATTTTACTAAAAAAATCAACGAATTATAAATATGGTTTAGGTTTGATTAGATTCTATAGCTACAATTCCCTACCCAATATAAACAATGAAAATAATAAATTTCATTTAAAGAATCATCCTACAATTTTACTTCCTATTGGTTCGTATGAAGTTTCAGAAATAGAACAAGCAATTAATGCAACTATTAATAAACAGAAAGATTTTATTAAATTAAACGTAAACAAAAATACACAACATGCACAATTAAAAAGCCCTACATACGAAATTGACTTTACACAAGATAATTCAATTAATCAATTACTGGGATTTGATAAAAAGATATACAGTGCAAACAAAGTACATAAATCTGATAAAATAATTAAAATAACCAACGCTCGAATTGTACGAATATCCTCGAACATTACGTCAGGTGCATATTTAAATGATAAACCAAGTCATACTATTCATGAGTTTGCCATCGATTCCCCCTATGGCTACAGCATAGACGAAGTGCCGCAAAATATTATCTACCTACCGCTTACAGTAACTTCAATAGAATCAATCGTATTACATGTGACAGATCAACACGATAAGTTACTGGATTTTTGTGGTGAAGAAATTATCATCAGATTGGAATTGAAAAAAATCGACTAACAACAATGGGATTTTGTTTTTTGGAAAACATTTTAAATTAGTTTAAAGTAAAAAAAGAGGTGGGGGAGAAAATCCTTTTTGGAAAAGTCAAACAAATAAAAGAAAAACAATGGGTATTAAATTTAGAAGTAGCCGGATGGTGTCCTTTTAAAACAAAAAATCCTACATTGACATCGACAGTTTTTAATGCTTGTTTACCGTTAAAAATGCTTATGGGCTTTGCGGAATTTTACAAAAAAATATTTTTAAATTGTAAATTAGAATTAATATTAATTAGGAATTAAGATGGAAAAATGGGTGTAACAAAAGTTCAATGGTTTATACCACATATAAATGTAAACGATGAGACAAAATTGAAAATGTTACAAGCTCTAAAAACCGAACAACATATAAGAATTGCTTTTCACCGTTGGGAATTACATAATTTACCTACTTTAAAAGCTATCACGTCCGATAAATGGAATATTCGAACAACATCACAATTGGAAAAACCGAGATTTATATTACGGCCTTGGTATCACCAACTGCCTTCACTACTGACGCACTACCACCGATTAGCGAGCCTAAGGCAGCTAATCCTGTAAACATCGGCACTAAAAATGGTAAAAATCCTCCTCTTTTCGGTATAGCTATCACTCGTGGTAGTTTAATGTTTTTCTTACCACCAACATTTTTCACAGTTTAATGTGCTGCCAGAAGAGCAAACTTAGATGCATTTCTTAAATTGTTTTTGTTTTTCGTAACGGATTTTTTATTGCTAATTTTTTTCGATATCGTTTTCACAGTTCCTCCTTGAAAGCACTAGCGATGGCGGAACGTGAACGTTGACGTTGACGTTTTAGAGTGAAATGTAAATGTTTAGCGGGAGTTTTATGCTTGAATGAGGATAAAGACGTCTTTGGCGTTAAAGCGTTGCTCCTAAAATTTAATCCCCATCCGAGTTTTCTTTTTATTTTCATAATATTTTTTACTAGAGCAGCGGCAAGTTTTTCTTTTAAATTTGCATCTGCTGCGTGTTGTCGTCGAGCAGCCGCTTCGGCTAACTCAAGATCAGCCAAGTGTCTATTAGTCAGATCCTTGTTACGGGCGTAAGCTAAATCGTGTTTTTTACACGCTGCATCTAGAGCATTTATGGGAACATCGTTACGTGTTAAACGCGTTAATTTAGTTCCTGGGCCACAAAACTTATAACCACCAGGCAAATGGGCCTCAAATGATAATTTTTCAATAAGAGTATTTATCATTTATCCTTAACGTACTTTTTTCTACCACTTGTTCATCACATTACATCATCTACACACAGGTATGTGGGCAACAATAACAATACTTAACAAAGACGGCAACGTTGAAAAAGGTATGGTGGCTACGTCGTTAGCAATACTAATACGTTGTATTAAATTAATTAATTTATAACCATTTTATATATTCTCACCACCCTCCTCCCACTCTCATCTATGTTTTCTTTTTTTTAACGTTTATGCATAGGCGTGTACGCATACACGCAGTTTATCGTCTAGCTTATGGTAATATAACACGGCGACTACGCGCACCTCGATGTCACGTTCGTTTGTTTTTGTTTTTTTTTTGTATTGTGTCGTGTATTGTTTTCGACTTTTCGAGTGTTTGCCGCACGCTAACAGGGTCCCCGTTAAGTCGGTCGACGGTCAGAGATCAAAGGTCAATACCAAAATAGTAAACGTCAACCATAGCAGTAAACACCCCAAACAGCAAGTTTAAAGAGTATGTCGACATCGTCTAAAGGATTTCATCATCAATAAAAGCAAAATCATCGTTTTAACGTGCTAAATTTTCATCCTTTAATTATGGATTATTTTGCAAAAGAAAAAGAAAATGAGGAGGAGGAGGGAGAGAAGTCTACTGGATATACACACCATCATCGTTATCGACGTCAAGGAGGGCGTCAACATCACAAACGAAATGGTATTTTATTTCAAGAAGATATTAGCAGTTTAATATGCGGATGTAGCGGTTCAGGAAAAACGAATTTGATTTTAAATCTTTTATTAAATCCAAACGCTCTTGACTTCTAGTGCTATTGATGATTGCGTTGGTGCTTATAGTGGGTTTGATAATAATAATAATACAATGGCATTAATAAAACCAGAAGAAACAAAACCAAATTCGATATTTATATTTGATGATGTACAATGTACCAATCAAAGTTCCATACGAGATTTTTTTGCTAGAGGTCGCCACTTCGGAATAAATTGTTTTTATCTTTGTCAATCGTATGCTCATGTACCTAAGCACATAATTAGAGATAATTGTAATTTAATTGTTTTGTTTTAACAGGACGATCAAAATTTAAAACACGTATTTTACGATAATTTTATTGAAAACGATATGAGTTTTGATATTTTCAAAGAATTATGTTGGAAGTGTTGGAAAGAAAATAGTTTTAATTTTTTTGTTCTCGATAAAAACGAGACCGTCTCACAGAAAAACGATATAGAATCAGTTTCGACACTTTTATTACTTTGTAATAAAGCGGTTAGTATTCAAATAGCCGTGCTAGAGTACAGTTCGATTGATTAAGTTTTTTGTGAATGTGTTTTTGTTTCTTAAGTCTATAAAATTATTATGAGTGCAAAATTGCTATTCTTACCACCAACAACAAACAGCACCTTTATTAGATGAAAAAAAAATAAAACCAAAGTTTCGTCTTTTCCGCTACCAACGGTAAGCAAGAAAAAAAATGATGAGAAATTCAAAAGGGAACTCATAAAAACACGAAATATAATTAGAAAAAAATTTGATAAATTAAAAAAACATCGAATGGACGTCAATATGGAAATTGCAAGTAATTTAAAATCGCTTATAACACCTCTTCAATCCATTGTGGAAAACATAAAAAAAGAACCAAAAATGACTACAATGTTAAAAAAAGAAGAACCCTCAATACTTTTACCAAAACCAACAATTGCATCAATGCAAACTAAACAAACTACCGCTTCTATTGCTGATGTTCAAAGTGAATTGAGTAACAAAACTAATGATGAGGATAATGATGATGTTTTTATTAGAAAACCGGCAATACCTTATATAAAACCTGCAACAACAAGTACTAATAATGATAATGTTGACGAAAGTTTTATGGGGCCATCATTTCTTCCACTGCAAACACTCTCAAAAAACATTACATCTACACCTATAATTCCTCCATCAATAGAAATTATAAAAAAACAAATGCGAGAATCGTTTGAAGGACACAAGCTTATAAGGTCATTTTTAAGCTCATTTAATCCGCTTCCAAAAAAATACCTTGAATTAAATAAGCGATAGTTTGGATTTGGTTTACTTTAAGACGTTTTCAATCCCTTGAATCACAGCCCAAAGCAAAGTTCATGGAAAGGGATCATCAATCAGGGAAAAAAAACTTTGCGCGCCACAACAGCAAACCTTCCTGCAAGTATTGCTCCGAAGAACACTATATAATAATAATAATAATAATAAAAATAAACGACTTTATTTGATAATATATATATATATATATATATATATATATATATACATTTATTTAATTTATATAATTGTTTGATTTTTTTATTTGTAAATTTGTATATATACATTCAGATATACATTTCAAAATGGCGAAGTTTGATTAAACATCACTCTTTCACTTAACCAAAATTTACAAATAAAAAAATCAAACAATTATATAAATTATATAATGCAAAAAAATATAAGAAATAATAATATTACAAAAACACAATAATGATGTAATTATATCAGATTCACTATGGTTTATAATTTAGTTTTGAGAGTTGTATAAGATTTGTTTTAATTTCTTACGGAAAAGGGTTAAACCTAGATTGTTTAGACTTACATGAGAATTGTGCAGTTTAGAAGCTATATATGTAAATGATTTTTGAAATATTGCGGTATTATGCCGGGCAACGGACAAAGTGTTAAGATTGCGAATATTTAAAACGTGCAAATCACTCCTAAACGTAAGTTTCTCTCTCAAATAAAAAGGCTGTAATAAGTCCATAACTTTATGAATAAAAGTGAAATAATTAAATATAAACGTGTTTTTAATAGTTAACCATCCCAGTTGTTTAAATTTTAAAAGAAATGTGGTCAAACTTTTTTAGGTTAAAAATTAATCTACAGCAGCTGTTTTGAACTTTTTGCAGACGATTTTTTACAATATTGTTCAGAAAAAGATAGTAAACGATTTGGCATATTTCACATAGTTGTTTTCTAATTTGTTTATTTAAAGAAACTTTATTTGCATATAACACCCTTAAGCGTGCATAAGTGCTTTTAATTAATTTACTAATGTGTCTTTCAAAATTAAGTTTATTATTAAAAGTAACACCTAGAAGTTGAATATCCAAAGAGAATGATAAATGGGTGTCATCTATTGTTAACTTAAGAGATTTTTGAAAACGAGTACGATGATTATCTGAACAAAACAACATTGTGATTGTCTTATCAGCGTTTTGTGAGACTTTGAATAGTTAAAAATACATGTAAGATCTTTATTAATTTTACCAGATACATTATTATAATTATTTGGGTCAAAAGTAAATAAATATACTGAATCATCTGCAAATCCTTGCATGTGAGCATTTGCACACTCAAACATGTCTAATATATAAATCAGGAACAACATCGGGCCGAGAATTGACCCTTGCGGCACTCGAGAAATTATATTTGAAGCATTAGACCTTTCACCTCCTACTGACAGAATTTGATACCGTTGAGATAAATGAGATTTATAAAGATTTATTGAAGTTTGTTTAAAGCCATAGTAATGTAGTTTGGCACAAAGTAAGTCTTGGTCAATAGTATCAAAGGCTTTTGAAAAGTCTAACGATATCAAAAGAGTGGCTAGCCTTTTATCTGTACCTCTTATGATTTCATCAAGTAAGAGATAAGTGACTTGAACAGCTAAATTTTTTTTTGTCTTAAATCGCTTAGATTCGCGGGATTATTGTTTTTAGGTGGACAAATTAATGAACCTTTTCATGTGTTAGGAAAATAATCTTTATCAATTAATTATATGCGTAAGGTGATTTAAAATTCTGGGTAAAAATAATTTTTTTTTAATCATTTATAGAGAAATGCCATCTAATCCGCTAGCATTGGATTTAAGGGATTATCGCCCTCGGTGGTGTAGTAGTTAGCACTGCGGACTACAAGCCGAGAGGTCGTGGGTTCGAATCCCACCAGGGGTATGGCTGTTTATTTGTGTTTGTCATTGTGTACTTCTGTAATTGGGCCTGGTGCCTGTTCAAGGCACATTAAAAATAATAAAATAAAAAAATATAATAAAATAAATAAATATTGCATCTTTAACTTCCTTTACAGTAGCTAATTTTAATTTAAAATTTAAATCCTCTCTGAGTAATCCAGAACCGTAATACAGAATTCTCTCATTACAATCATTTGTTTTTTTAAAAACTGAGGTAAATTAGTTATTTATTTCATCTGGATTACTAATTGATGCAGGTAGCTCAGAAGACTTTGATTTATTATTTATATTTAAATTACTATGACCTTTCCACAAATCTTTTGGTGATTGAGATTTTAGTGACTGTAAGTATGATTGTTTTTCACGATTTAGAGAAGATTTAGCAAAATTTCGCAATTGCTTGTAGCCTAACCAATTTTTATGACTTTTATTGAAGTGAAATCTCTTTAAAGCTTTTTCCCTTTCTTTAAAAATTAATTTTAAGTTAGGGGTTATCCAAAGGGTTTTAGGTTTAGTTACTCGTTTTGTTACTAGGGGAGCATGTCTTTCAAATAAAAGATTGGTTACAATTATAACTTTATTTTCAATTTCATTTATATAGTAAATATTATCCCAAGGCAAGCTATTTAGGTCAGAATTAAAATTATAATCATCAAAGTTTTTAAAATTTCGGTAGGTAACAAATTTCGGTTTAAATGATTCGGATTTTAAAATTAAATTGCAAAAAACCATACTATGATCCGATATTTGAGAAGCGTCGATGACTCCGGAAGTATGTATTTTATTCGCACAGTTTAAAAAAATAGGATCAAGTAAAGTTGACGTTTGATTAGTTTCTCGGGTTGCCTTATCAATTATTTGCGTAAAACCCAAAGAATTAAAACAACTGGTTAGGGGGTTGTCTAGATTAAAAAGATTTATATTGAAGTCTCCTAAAACTATTACATTTTCATACCTAGGCGTCATATCTGATAAAATAGTATCGATTGTTTCGATGCTATTTAGGGTATTTATTTTAGGAGG